GCTCGGGTGGGAGGCCGGCCGGCCGGCGAAACCCGCGGCAGCTGAGCGGGCTCCAGGGGCTATTTTGACAGCGCGTTCTGGCCTCCGCCTGCAAACACTGACCGCAGGGGCACCCTCGGGCTTCCCAGCCCCCACTCGGCCAAGGCTCAGGCCTGGCTCAGAGCCTCCTGAAGAGGAAGCCCCCCGAAGACAGGTGGGTGCCAGGGGAGGAGGCCGGCCCAAGCGTCTGAGTTCCCGCGCCACCCCTGGAGGAGAGGCTCGTGGTCGGCGGGAGGGCCGGTCTCCAGTCCCGCGGGCATCCCCGGGAACAGCAGTTGCGAAACTCCGGCGGTCCGGGCCGCTCCCAGGCAGCCCTCCCGCCTCCCGCTCCGCTCCCGCTCGGGAGGGGCACGGTCCTCCTACTTCCTTCTTTGCACCGCCCGCTCCCGCCCCCCATGATGTTCACTCGCAGCCAGCCGGAGGGCAGGCTTCTCTTGCGCGGGCACGGCGAACTGGGCAGCCATCCTGCCCGGCCCTGAGCGTCCTCCACTGAGAAACAGCACATCTCACGCCACAGCAGTCAGCACTTGACACTCCAACCTGTGATACATCTCATGCCCCAAAGGCCCAAGCCCTGGACACACACACACACACACACACACACGCAGTCACTGTCAGGCACACTGGGACCTGCGACACTCGGGCATCGTGACCCCAACACGGGCACTAAGATGTGTCACACCCTCAGCCTGTGACAGCCAGCTACCCCTGGTTGGTCGTTCCGCAGGGCTTTGCCCTCCCTGAAACCTGCACACCATCCTGACACCTAGGGCCTCAGCCAGACCGTGCCACACACAGCCGGCCACCACAGACACCGACTCCCGGACGGACAGCCCGGCTCTGAGACAGCCACACTCCTCCCCCACTGCTAGGGCAACTCCTGTCATTCGTTTCCTGCCTTTAAACTTTGCAAAGTGCACTTGCAGGCCCTCCCCACGAAAACACCCAGGGCGAGCATCCCAGCAGCGAGATCCCATCAAAGAAACGGGGCCTAGGCTGAGCCTGGGACTTGCATACCCACTGGGGACAAGCCCAGCCCTGGCGCCCTGCAGCTGTCCCATTCCCTGCCCCTCCAGCCCTTCTGGCTTCAGACAGCCATCCACACAGGCAGAGGGCTGAGTGGGTGGCTTCTGCCCCAGCCCAGCTCAGAGCCTGACCCAGGCTCTCTTCGATGGGAGGGTGAGGGCCTGGGGGAAGAGGCGCCTTGACGCTGAGATGTGTCAAGGCGGCCACCGATCGGGCTGGCCTCCCCTTGGCCTCCCCACCCGCTTCTCCAGCAAGCTGCCTCCCCTCTCCGCTCTGGCCCGCTCCCCCAGGTGCACAGGGCAGAGAGGGGCAGAGAGGTCTGGCGCCCCGAACCTGGGGGCAGCACAGAGTGACAGAGGTGAGGGCACTCCTCCTAGAGGTGGGACTCCCAGGACAGCAGCCAGCCCCAGCCCCCAGGATGAGGTCCCAGCGCTGCCCCTGCCCAGGCCCCGGGGCTCCCTGACCCAGGCCTCCAGTGTGCCTGCCCCCCTCCTTTGTCTGTGCCCGGCCTCCCGTTGGCCTGGCGCTCTGCCATCCTCCTCTCCTGGCTCCCAGCCGCCACCACGGCTGCCTCCTCCCCTCCCCCACGCCTCCCGGCCTTAACCCTTCGGAGCCCCGCGCTGCCCCAAGCGGGCGGCCCCTCAGCATCCTGCCCGGTGATGCCCTCTGCAGAGGCTCTCAGCGCCGGCCCTTTCAGCCCAGAAGCGGCTCCCAGCCCAGAAGCACTATGGGAGCTGGGCGTGTGTGCGTGTGTCTGGTGGTGTTTCCGCGTGTGCATGTGTGTGGCTCTGTGTGTGCTCTGGCTTCCCTCAGTCACATGTGTGGGGCATGTGCTGTCTCTGCCGGGCTGGGGGAGGAGGAGGAGCGGAGACAGCAGAGCACAAAGGAGAGACTCAGACGGGCGGGCGGGCAGGCAGCAGGCCGCCTGCCAGGGCGCCTCAGCCCTCACCCAGGGCTGCTCCGGGGGGGGGGTCTCGGGCTGGCCGCTCCATGCGGCCACAATGCCCTTGTGTTCAGGCATGTGCTCCCACCACCCGTGCGAGCCGGGTCCCCCCTCCAACCCCACCTCCAGGCTCCGCTCAAGCCCCTCCCCGTGTGGTTCTCCTTGAAGTCTAACCTCCATCCATCAATCCAGGAGACTTCTTCAGGGAAAAGGCGCCCAGCCCTAGCCATCTTCTGCCCCCTCTCGCGGTCAGGCCACCAGACACACAAAAGGAACGTGGCACTAGGGACACGGACCGAAGGGGCCCTCCTCCCCCCGCAGCCCCAGGCAGGGGTCCTCTCCC